AAAGAAATATGAGATTAAAGTCAGAATTCTGAGATTAAAGAAATATGAGATTAAAGTTGGAATTCTGACTTTTTCTTAATTCTGAGATTAAAGTGAGAATTATGAGATTCAAGTCATGATTAAATTGAGAATTATTATTTTTTCATTGTCCCTAATCCTCTTTCATAGGATTTTTATTTAGTTGCAAATATGATGAATTCACTGATTTAATGCATTGAAGTCTGCTATAAAAGATGCAATCATTGAGCAAAAACATCTTTTTCAATCAGAATTTAAATAACCATTTTAATTATTATTGATAAGAAGATTCAGACTGAAAAATAAAATATGCTAATTGAAATATTTAAGCATTTTGGGGACACTTCTTTAAAGTGAAGATAAATCAACACTTCCAGCCCCCGACAGCTGCCAGAGTGAAACGTGAACATCCCTTCACCTTGGACGAGATGAAAACACGGTCATGAAGAAATAAAAAGGAGGGATGAGCGAAGAGCGAGCAGCAGGAACAGAACATCATGCAGGTGGAGGTGCCATGCGTCGTTAATGCAGGATGAATAAATGAAGTGGGACACACAACATTTGTCCCTCAGCAGACCAGGGACACGTGGACTCACCCAGACTGTTGTTTTCTTTAACGCTTTTCTCTTGCAGCTGTTCTAACCGCACTGTAAACAACAACAACAGCAGCAGCAGCACTGATTTGTCACCTCGTGTTAGGGTGACGGTTGAAACGTCTCTTTGTTTCTTTATCATTTTGCTTTGAGATTAAAAAAAAAGGTCATTACTCAGAAAAAGCTAAAAATAAGTTTAGAAGGAGGTCCAAMTGCTTGGACGTTTTGATTCAAAGTAATTTAAAGTTAGTGTAAAAGCAATAATCAGTGTTAAAGTGAAGGTGGTGTCGTGAACCTGGCAGTTCGTACCCTGCAGGGCGGCGAGTCTCTCGTTGGTGAAGTCGTTGTCGGCCTGCAGAGCCTCGATGCGAGCCTGGAGAACCTGCTCCTTCTCCTCCATCTCTTCGATCCGCAACTCCAACTCCTTCTTCTCCATCACTCCCTGCTGGGTCAGCTCCTCCTGCCGGCCCTCCGCCACCTGGACAGGAAGCAGATTTAAGCACCAGGTGGATTCAATTGAAACAAACAAAAAGCGATCAGGTGAATCAGGTGAAGCGGGTTAAGCAGATGAATCGGGTTAAGTGGGTGAAGTGGGTGAATCAGATGAATCAGGTGAATCAGGTGAATCAGATGAATCAGGTGAATCAAATGAATTAGGTGAATCAAGTGAATCAGATGAATCAGATGAAGCGGGTGAATCAGATGAATCAGRTGAATCAGGTGAATCAAATGAATCAGGTGAATCAAATGAATCAGGTGAATCAGATAAAGTAGGTGAATCAGATGAATCAGGTGAAGCAGGTGAATCAGATGAAACAGGTGAAGCAGGTAAATCAGATGAATCAGATGAATCAGGCTCAGGTACCTTGATTTTGTCGGTCAGCTCTTTGATCTCGTTGACGGCAGCGTTGTATTTGTTGGCCAGCTCCCTCAGCTCCTCCTGACCCCTCTCAGACATCTCCTTCAGGTGGGTGCACTCGTCCTCCGTGTTGCTGAGCGAGCGCTGCAGGAGACAGAGATTTAGTTCACTCCAACACCTGCGCCGTGTTTAACCAGGTGAAAACACACACGCAGAGTCGTACCTCAACCTCCGACAGCTTCCGGACCACCTCGATCTTCTCCTGCAGGACTCTTCTCAGGGACTCCTTTGCCGTCGTCTCATAGTTGTGTTTGTCCTCCTGAAGAGCCAGGAGCTCCTTACGGATCCCCTCCTCTGGCTGCGACTGCAGCAGATTTTTAACAGTTGATGAAAATGAAAATATTTATTGAATGAACACTAGTTCACAAGATGTTTGGAGGATTACCTTTGAGTAAGCCTGTAACTGACTGCCCATCACTTCTAACCTGGACAGCAGACGGTCCTCGTCTATCAGAGCCTAAAGGAGACGATTACAGGAAGGTCTTTACAAACAGGAACGTCTAGGCAGATTCTTCTTCTTGTGCTTCCATTTTGTAATGATGTAACGGTTTTTGAAAGGCTTAGGTGTAAACAATGTGATACGCATCATCAAACAAGATTGTTGCACGTGTTCATGCTGTCTAAAAGACAAAAGATCCATCCATCCATCCATTTTCTGTACACGCTTCTTCCTTTTCAGGGTTGCGTGGGTCACTGGTGCCCATATCCAGCAGTCACAGTGCRAGGGGCGGGGTACACCCTGGACAGGTCGCAAGTCCATCACAGGGCCACACATAGAGACAAACGAGACAAACAACCACTCACTCTCTCACTCACACCTAGGGACAATTTAGAGTTATCAATTAACCTAACAGTCATGTTTTTGGTCTGGCAATTATGGCAATTTTCTTAAGTATAAAGATGTTTTCTTTGAGTTTTTGTATTTGAAGTACATGCATGTCACAGGCTCTTTAAAGCATGTGGTGTTTCCTACCTGCCAGCTGCTCTCCGAGGCCTCCTGTGTGGTGCTTAACAGACGCTGCAGAGTGGCTAACTTTTGCTCCAACATCTGCTCTCGGTGTAAGGCCTCCTGGAGAAAACAAACAAATAAACAAAGCAGGGCGACAGAGAGGTGGTGTTCAGTACCTCAAACATTCAGAAAGTTAAATATCTATTACATACAGGTAGTGTAATAATTAAATATGAACATTATAAGAGCTGAGTGCAGAACAGACAGCAGGTGTCAGCGTATTACCTGTAAATACTGGGAGAGCTGGAACAGTTCCTGAGAATACATACTGGGAGTGTTGGCTGCAACCTAAACCAAAAACACAATAACAACAAAAGAATTATCGTTTGAATGAAAAGGTGTAGAAATGAGTGAACGCTCACGTTAAAAGCAAACAAGTTTTAACCATTAACTGGTCCGATTAAAGGCTGGTTCAGTTTTAGAACCAGTTCTGAGCTGGTTTGTGTCTCTGCAGACAAAGAGTCACAGATCCAACTCATAACGTCACTTTGAACGTCTCTTTCTGTGTATTGTCTGAACCCGCCCCCCGTTTCAGACCAAACACATAAATCACTGCGTTTCTCTCAGTTTTATACAAATTAATGATTTATTTAACCTTTGCGTAACCAGTGAATCCCACGACGTTAACCTGCTCGAGACAGAACCATTACAAAATTTACAAGCTGAAGATTATTAATGAAATAAAACAAGTCAGAATTCAGCTTTAAAGTCCAACAAAGAGAAAAGTATTAAGCTTTAGTTTGGACTGAAGAGCAAAATTAGATTAGTTTATAAATGCTGATGTGAACAATGTTCCATGCTGTCTGGAGACGTAGAAAAAGAAATGTAATTTACGGGAATATCCTGAACGCCGACAGCAGGAGGAGGGTCCAGCTGCAGCCGCTACAATCGTTGGAAAGCAGGAACAGCTGATCGAGGTAAACGTTTACTACGTCAGAACTTATTCAGCAAATGTGTTTCCCTCTCCTCTTTTGCTTATTAACTCGTTTTTAGAAAATCCAAAAAGCACCTCCTCAAGCGAGCGTAAAAACATTTTAGACAAATTCAAGAAGTTTTTGCAAATTTTGCCATTTCCATCCCGCTTTTCTAATGTGATACTTCAAAATGYGCATWAAAAAACAGGGATGAAACATGGCTCCTGTGCCTTTCTAACTGCAGGATAACATGATTAACTGCTAAATACTATTGATTAAATAGAATTTGTCATCAAAGTTAGCTGCAGGATCTTTAACTCAAGTGGTAAAACAAACCTGACAATGCCGATACAGTTCAGTTTAAAATAAATCCAGTTTCTAAAGAAGATTTTGTTTCTTATTGTTGTATTTTTCAACAGTCTGTCTAATGTGAACTTTTCACTTTGTAACAAAACAAAGTGTCTTAAGTGAAAAAAAAAGATGTGTAACCGAATGAGCGCGTCTCTTCTGACAGGAGTCCTTTCTTTTAGACACTTAATTTTCAGAGACAAGGTTTAAATCTAATCCCAGCTCCTCTGGACAACGCTTACACATCAGCCTGCATTCCTGGAATAAGTGACACTGAGGCCTCGCTGTTCTCATCGTGGAGGGGTGGGGGGGACACCGAGCAGGGAGGGGCTGCAGAGGACACCAACATGCTTCATTGTTGTGTTACACACAATAAACGGTTTATTCTGGCACCGTTACACATTTATGGAGTTGTACTGAAACTTATCTGAGTGTTGTGCTCTTCTGTCTTTGTATTTCATATATTATTTGATTCTAATAAATCGTTACATTTTATGTAATATTTGTAACTATTCTCACTTTATTTAAAACATCTTTTTCAATCATTTAGCATTTGAGCTACCTGTCTCTGGCCTTTTCTCTCCTGACACATTAGCTTAGCCCCTGGAGATAATGAAATATCAAAGAAAGGTTGTGTTACTGTAGTACAAGGCTATTCAACTAAATCGCTCCAGGGGCCACAGTTACTGCAGRCCAACAGCTAAAGGGCCGAACATCCAGCAATTACAATCACTATGTGAATAAACCAAGTATTACAAAGATCCGTTACCTTTGAAACTGTTTATTTCATTTTTATTTAATCATAAATATAACATACAGAACCCTTTGTAATTAAAGTAGGGATAATAAAACAATATTGAAACTAAAAATAACACATTATACCTCCTATTCAACACAAACATAATATTGACATGTCTGATTTTTCAAAATTTTAAACCAATTTTATTTTCACTTTCATAGTTTTATTTTCAAATGCTTGTAGTTTTAATTGTCTTGGATGTTCATAGAAATGGTTGTTACCAGCTTCTAGCTAAGATCCTGATGTTTCTGTAGATACCAAACATGTCTATGTTTAACTAAAAGAACTTAAAGCAATTAAAGTAGAAAACTGGGGATTTGGGTCAAACTTTGGTCACTCATGGGCCAAAGGTGGTCCGTGGGCCACCAGTTGAATAGCCCTGCCTTAGTGTGAAGCAAACAGCTCGACAAATTTCTATCAGAAACAAAGGAATGTTGTGGAAATGGAGTATTTTTGTTTGCTTCATTTTATCATCTTTCCACACGTGAGGAGAAAATTTACCAAGCGTCGGTATTTCAGAGCAGGAAAGACCAGTTAGTTCAGATTTACAAGAATTTTTAAAACAATCAGTAAGTCTGAGTAATCCTTATAGGACAGAACGTCTCTTAGAAAATGTCTACAGTTTGTTTATAACTCATGTCAATGGTTAGTGTCATTAGAATAAAAAAAATACAAGAAAACACAAGTTCTACATGGTGTTTGTTTGTTTACCCATGGAAACAGCCGACGCAGATAAAAACAGGTTAACGTCGACATCAACAAAAGAGCCGTTTGGGATGGAGAAGTATGGGTACGTGAAAACGTAGCAGACGTTTTCCTAAAAGAGAGCTTTCTGTAGTTCTGCAGCACTAACTTGTTCCCTGCATTCCTCTATCAGATGACTGGCCCAGTGTGAGTGCGAGCAAACACCAAGGATGGATAATAAATTAACTGAAACACAAACAGACATTTTTCCACCTCGCAGAGGTTCGGCCCGATGGGGACAACAAAATCAAATAATAAGGATGAACTCAAGACAAAACACCACCACAAAACAAAACACCTCTGCTCTTACCTTGTCTACAGGAAGTGGTAACGGAGCCTGGATGACACTGAAAGAGGAGAAAAATAAATAAATAAAAGAGGAGAGAAAACAGTTCGTCCCCATGGAAACGTCAGGGGAGCAGAGACAAAGGAAAATGTTCTGAAGGTCTTGTGACTTTTGTTATTTTTCCTTTAGCTAAAACTTTCTTTTAAAGCGGTTGTGCAACAGCTCAGTATTAACAGTGGAAAAAAGGTGTCATTAGAAATAAAAGCATCAGATTCCACTTGTAAAATRAAACAAACGGAAACCGTATTTTGTGATTTAATAAAGACTTCAGCAGATACACACAGAGGAATTACTCCGGTCCGATCAGATCACCGGGTCGGTTTGTGTGGAAGAGAAATCAAAAACACAACGTGTAATTGAGCCGGACGGGTTTTCCTGAAGTGCAGGGAAACTGGGCGATGGATGTGACAGTTCACGCTACACAAAAAGCCTCAGGCGGCTTTGGAGAAGTGCAGAATCAACTCTGTGGATCTCCAGTTACRTAATCCCAGTTTTCAGATGGAACTCGGAGTCATAACTACGAACAAATGGCATCAAAGTTCACAAAAAGAAGTGTGTCTGCACGTGATGGACGATCTGCACTCTGAAACCCAGCCTATAATAAAAATCACCATCATGAAAAACTGAAACATGTCATATTTTAGGCTTCAGACAATTCAGACAAAAAACAAAGGTTGAACATTTGAATTCTGAGAAACTAATCTTAATGCTGCTTTAGATGTAAAACAATCATGATGAAGCATTTTCAAACATCATCCAATTTTACCTCTTTATTTAAAAAATGACAGTTTACGTCATGTTTGAGCTTCACTGTGCCTGAAAGTTATGAGATATTTGGCTAACAGTACAAACACACACACTCTAATGACAATAGACACTCTGCAATACAAAAACACTTCTACTACCAGAACCAGAATCTGTCTCTTTGTGAGGAAAACTGAAGGTTAAAGACAGAGTTGTAAAGTAACTAAGTACAAATACTTCTTTACTGTACTTAAGTAGAATTTTTGGGTATCTGTACTTTACTTGAGTAATTATTTTTCAGCCTACTTTTTACTTCTACTTCTTACATTTTCACACAGTTATCTGTACTTTCTACTCACTACATTTAAAAAAAAGGCAAGAAGTAGAAATTTGTTACTTTTATTTGATTTTTGCTTGTTTTCATTCCAGCTTGTTATTATAAAAAATAAAAACTATCCATATAAACTGTGCCTCTTATAGAGTGAATTTAACTGTGGTTG